GGAAATTTAAATGCAATACTGCAATTTAATTTACCAATATACACTGGTTGAAACGTTAACATCTAACAGCATTAAAAAGTTAGAGCAGTACCATTTCAATCAGCGGCAACAAGACTTTACCAAAAGGAAGTCACTTAGGTTTCCCAAATCTGTTAGTCGAACGTTGGAATGTTATTGGAGAGGAAAGTAGTGCGAGTTAACAAGATATTTGCAGATGTGTCCTGATATATTGTAGATTTACTTAAAAGAAACTCACAGGAATTGAAATCGGAAGAAATCGGTAAGGCGAGCACCACCCAGAGACCAGTTGAGGTAACCCACATGGAGTAAATTCCATTAGTTGGAGCAGAGCTGTCAATAGCAATCACTCAATTAGCAATGCCAATTGGGACCTTGTAATGGCTCAACACTCTGGACGAAACCGCTCTGTGTTGTGTCTACCACTACGAGCACGGCTTCACAACCATTGTTGCAAAATGTTACAGTCTGAAACCAATTTACTCCTCGTTAGCTTTATGTGTGCCTTAGAATATGACGAATTACAGCGATGACCTCTCTCATCCCTATTATACTCATTGCTTCCCGTTTACTTCAACTTTCGCTGTCTTCCCTAATGGAAACAGGTCCGGGGAGCTCCTACTGAGTCGAACTGGTAAGCAAAACATTTTTACCTGTGGTATCAAGGTGGCGTCATAGGAGCTTTTTTCACCAACCAGAAATTCCGGTAGTTATTTGTTAAAAGTAAAACTATTCAGAATCTCTTTCTGATAAAATAGTATATATTTTGTAATAAATGAATAAGTCAATGTACAAATTTCTCAAGCTAACAGATCATCGGTAACAATTTGTCTTAGTCCTTATTTATTGTAGGGTGGCGGGGGCTTTAAAATCCGATTTAGTTAAATTAAATGACTGTCCATGGTTATGGGCTTTGAGTTCCATTATCGCTACACAGAAGTCCTTAAAAGTGACCATAGATATAGCAAAGATCTCGTGGAAAACCAAAGCTTATTCTCTCTAGGAATTGAAGACTGTTTAACTTACCAGATTTGCCGATTTGGGGTGAAGAGATAGTAAGAAAAAGGTAGTTAGTTTGGTAATAGACAAGTTTGCACACCTGAGATGTCTTAATGAAATCTCACTTATCAAAAATCTAACAATGAACTGACTCAACAGGCCGTTTGATCCCCAAACTTCGTCAAATATTTTATGTTTATTAGCTGTTACGTGCGAATGACCTTAGGCAAATCAAAAACTGATGGCTCTATTTTATGCAAAACAATTAAATTTCATGATAATTTCATGGGAGTAACGACTAATACCGTAGGGCAGCAAAACACAGCTGTATTTGAATAAAGGGGATTCGAGGAAAAATCTTCTCAAAATGAAAATACTTACAAATCACACCGATTCGTCCAATAATGGCACTTTACTTACCAGTATGACTTAATAATAAGGCACATAATGCATCAATGATGGCATTCGTAGCAAAAATTAACGGAGCCAGTAAGATAGTTTGAACTTACAAATGGAAACCTCAATTTAAAAGAGACTAAAATATTGACAATTCCATTTGTTTTTTTTCTGCAAAATTTGTTATTTTTGATTTTATTAAAAACACTTAATTTTAATTACTAAATTTCTTTGCGGTTCTATAATTCAAAGTCGGATGGGCAGGAGGAATACAAATTATCGTGGTCAAACTTAAATAAACAAAAACTACTGTCAAAATTTTTAAAAAAAATCAAAGACATGAAGACGAAGTGGCAGCTACAGCATATGCCAAAAGTGAGTAGAGCATGCCTTCTTGATGAACTCGCAGTCTGGCAGTAATCAAAATGAAGCTTAGTAAAGTTGCTATTTTAATGGGTGGTTGAAAATATATATATAAGCCTTTTAAATGAGATGCTTGAATTGCTTGCGATTTTAAAGTGTGTCTCCATTTTGGAAGTTCGAACTTCCTCACTTCACATCCCTTTCACAATATTCTGGAATCATTCATACTCTACCCCTCCCTTGCTTCCTTTCTCATAGACCAATGTCGTCTTGATGCACTTTTTGTATGCTAATGGCCTTCTTGTCCTGAGGATCATTTGATAAGTCACAAATACGGGAGAGCTAAAGATCTTTGCGTATTCTTGGGTTCCGCATGTTGTACTCTGGCGATCAAAACAAGTTATTGGAGAGAATTCGCCCACTATTTTCATGTTCAATCTGCTTGTTCACACAAAATCTCGGAAAATGTTGCGCTTTTAGACGAATATGTAAATAGGTGTTCTATAAAAATCTCGCCTCAATGTGCAGCTAGTGGTCCCTTGATTTGTAGAAGATTCTCGTTTAGCAAAGTTCGTTTTGTCAAAGTGCGACTGGGGAAATAAACATCGGAATTTCGGAGTTACGAATTATTACACGCAATTGGGGTATGAGAACCTCAGCAGAGAAGTATCTTCCTAAATTTACGTAGTTTTATTCTTTAGATTTTCCTACAAAATCTTTGGTCGGAAATCTGCCTGCGGACCTAGGAAAAATTATGGTTTACAATGGACTAGGACTGTTTATTTCCGTTTTGAAAGCATACATATCTACATTTGTCAATTGCAGTTAAGAGTTTTACAGATTCATCTTAAGCAATCAGATAAATTACCTAAATACACCACGCACATTCGGAATAATTTTTAACCCTTTTGTAATCCTGCTTCTACAGCTTCTTTTTTGTTTAACACCGAGGGTCTTATCCAAGTGATTAATCTACAACTCCCTGATAATTGCTCTTTCCAAATCATTTAGATAAGAAACATTGATTGAATCAAGTGTGAGAGGAGTGGTTCTACTTTCAACTAAAGGGGACACCATACCTGCACGCAAAGGTGCCCAGAGGATTTGAATTATCCCAAAAAGCAGAACTTTTATTCGAATTGCGCTTGAAAGCACTGAGTTTAGGGAGCGTCATGCAGCTACGCTGGACGTTATGAGATCTACGGTCAGTTAGTGTGAGGTCTACTCACCCAACTTATTGATTGTTCCCACAGAGTGGGATGAAATCGAAGTATCGATTGCCTCGTGCTTCTATCGATCGCCTTGGTGTGGACTTCGCATTGTACGGATTTAAAGTAAATTGACGTGTAATCCGGCTAATTATGATAAACCCATAAATGAAAAAAATGACCAAGGCGTACAATACCCTAAAAATTATACTGGGAGACCAAAGCACTTATTTTTCGGATTGTAAATCAGCTTTGCATTTTTACAATGTAATTGGTGCGGCGATCCTACAGGGCCTTGTGTTACACATTTTGTGGTCTGATTTGAAACACACCGCACTGCACTCACCACTACAGCCAACTTAGGAAAAACCTTCATTTGTTTACCTATTAAAATGTTACTACCGGGAATTCCTATCAGTTACTGTAAAACTGAATGAAAAATCACTTCTAAATGATTAAAATTTAGCTTACTCAGTAAATAAATGAATGGTTGTTCATGCTTTTGGCTAAAATGACTACCTTCCATGGCGTTGATTTACACCGTGCTCAGAGAAGAATGGGTTCCCCAGTTGTTATCTGTGAAATTGTTAGATTTTTAGCAGTAACAGCTTAGTCGCACCAGCTTAAGTGCACAACGAGAGCACAACACGAAACTAGAAGGCCAAATAATTCTAGTAGGGAGCCTTGTTTATTCAACTTGTCGTGCGTTGTGTTGTACCGTGCTAAGTGAGTAACCTGTCTTACAGGGCAGCATGGGTGACAGCAAGTACTGGTCAATAGCTCGAAGCCCGGTGAGAAGGGCAACCAGATTAAACATCGGACTACTCATGGTAGGAAGGAGACCACTCGGAGCATCAGCGTTCTGAACTCAAAGCAATGATGACGATGTGATGGAGCTTATGCATGGGTATTAATAGGGATGTGAGGATAGACATTATTTTATGTGGGTAGCTTGTGTCACTCATGACTGCTTTAAATCTTGTCATGTGTGAGTAATCCCTAGACTACGAAGTCTGGACTACCGGCTAAAACCACTGACAAGTACAAACATATATGTGACCATGTCGATCACTCTAGATCCTCGAGCATTCAAGCTGCAGATATGTTAATAATGATTCAATCATAAGTGTAGAACTTCAAGGGGAAAAAAGGGGAAAAGCAACAACAGTGGAAAGTAATTATTGTTGGCAATTTACGAGCTCCTTGAAAATGCATTTGCTAATATCAAGTTATGCCTCAACCATTATAATTGACTAAATAGTTCTGAAAAAAATCATAATAGAAACAAATATTTTTAGTGAGGCTCAACGTCATTCTTTAAGGATTTTCCACGCAGTCTGTTAATCACTCAACACTGAGTGAATTTAAATTGTCAGCTGCTCCTCTCGCGTCCACTAGATGTAGGTTTAGCTGCGTGCGTGATGAATGGATTATTCCAGAGTTGATAGCATGGACAGACAGTGTCTGCTGTATAGTCAAAGCATATCAAGTGAGTCAGGCTTGCTGATGGGTCAGCGATTGGTATATCACTGTCTGGAAACGATTATGCTGGGCGAAATATTGCCACCCTGCTACATAAGTAATCATTATTTATACCTTCAGAAATTTAACAACAACTTGTGGGCTGAAGTAAAAATCTTCAAATTAATTTTGATATTGAATGTCTCCAGTTGAAGGTTTAATCCGTATCATCTAATGACATTATGATTTGATAAGGCACCCCCTCCATTCAGATTGTAAGGGTTAGAGGTGTCACCTTACCAGGTAAACAGCTTTGGTCCATATTGCAGTACAGATCTTCTCAGTTAGTGTATTAAATCAAAGTTGTAGATTCAACCAATAATTTCAATCTATCAAGAGGGCTACCGTATTCTGCCGCTATCATAATAGTTGCAGATTCATTACGGCAAATATATTTTGGGAAAAAATTTATTTTTTAAACAAGTGCAGTCATGCGAAAATGGTCTGGAGGCTTCTCTAATGAAGCAAAATTTAAGCAAAACCTAAAAAACTGGCATGGTGAAACACCATAAAGAAATACCTGCTAGAAATGTGATGCCGTAAGTTTTTGGGTAATGTGAAAGGTAAATCTCGTCCGAATAATAGACGCTTTCAAGAAGCGTGGGCCATCGGATCGAGGTTAGGTTAAATAGCTAAGAGTCCAGGTATTATTCAGGAATTATTAAAAGAAGGCACTAAAAGCGGTGAACTTAAAATTAATACAATACTTTTATAATGCACAAGTTTTATTAACTCTGATCATGTATATAATTAGTCCATAAATAATCCCTTCCGAGATCACATGAAAGGATGGTAATTGAAGTGAATACGAAATTAATTCATCCCAAAAGGCTAAATTTAAACTTCTAAACTAAAGATAAATCAATGTAGGGAAATGATAACTCTCTTGGTTACTGGAAATAATATCGTCCTTTCCAATAACCCAATAGATAGCCTATAGTACTTTGTTTAATTATTCGTTTTGGTTATACGGACATTTAAGGCTCCGCCATCGTACTTCCACCTGGCGGCATGGCTTTTGGACCATGTCAGTAACCATTTAGCTCTTCTTTGTGTTCGTTATGCATATTACTTCCTCTGTCCTCAGGAAAGTGTCGGGGAGCTATATCGGGGGGCAGTGGAAACTGGACCAGAATCCCAATTTCTAGTACTAAATGATAAATCTTAATGAGACGGAAGAAGGGAATGTGCTGCTGGTGGGAGAATCTATGACGACTCCTAACAGAAGGATTGAAAATGACATCCACCCTCGACAGTTATCGCAGTCTCGTTTCCTGAGGGAAAGGAATTAACAACTAAGGTGATACTCATTTCCTATGGAGATGTCTGTTACTTGCGTGAAGATGTCAATTAAGTGTGCACGCAATATCTCCTTCACCTCTCTACTAGCTGGCTACAACCCAGATATGTATATATGTAAGGCTAGGCAGTACTGAAGAAAGAACAATATAACTAGGAGGAGGGGGACGCGAAACCTTAACTCCACGAAGCTATATTGAACACCGTCCCCTAATAAACGACTCCACCTTTAGGCCAGTGTTCTTGCAATCAGTAATGGATATAAGTGATAACCATCACATTCGCCGTTCCCCAATACAGCCTCCAAACAAGACAAAACTCCAGATCCAGTGGAAGTGCCAAGAGGAATCAGTGACGTTGCAGTCCAATAACTTCTCTGTTGTACTCGAATTCGATGACTGGCGTGGTTAGGTCGTGGGTGGTTTTCCTTCATCATCGAATACTTTGTGATGGTCAACGCTGGTGGCCGATCAAGGGGAGTGCTGGAAACGATGCACAAAAGTGGCTGTGTAATACCTCGAATGTTTGTTTAACTTTTTTGGTTTTGCAACTACTTATGGTCCAGCCTTTATACTTCCGCTGGGTGGCTTGGCCTCCAGGTCATGACAGTACTCCCCAGCCCTACTATGCGTCGGCGATACACTTTATGTTTTAGTATTATGACTTCTTTCCTCTTCAAAGAAGTTTTAGGGCACTGCAATTCTAACTGTGCTTATTGATGTCAACTTTGTTATAAACGTACAAATACTAGTTCTGAGTAATAATGATAATATCAAAATATGCCTAAAGAAAGGTCCATCGCATGAGTTTAGTTTGTGATAGATATCAGTCGCAATAAAATCCTTTAAAAATTTTATACAATTTCTTTCATAAACGGCGAACTAGAAGGATAAATTCAATATTTATGTCGGTCGAAGGAGGAGTCTTTAGGTGAATGACTGCGGAGACCGAGACAGCGACGTGTTACTAACTTAGTGGACTTGTCAAAGCATCAACCCTGAATTGATGCGCAGGCAACTGAAGCGCTCCAAATTTACCAGGACAGTCACTATAAATTACCTATTATTTCATAGAAGCCCTGAATTAAAACAGGTACTAGGTGATAAGCAACCAATAGGGCGAGGTGTAGGCCCAACTGCATGATAGAAACTTTATTGTAATTCATGCATATCTGAAAAATTTACTCAAACTTCACTCAACAAATTAAACATCAATTTGTGGGTTGGCTAAAAAAAGGAAAGGGGGAACAATTGAGCAAAATCTCCATTTTTGATAATCAGGTTCCTTAAACTGCACAATGGGTGTAACTTTTGAATATCATGCGATCTATTTAAACTGCAGAAAAAGATACCACTTTTAGGTAAACATTTGTTCCCATTATGTCTCTACCGCAACCCGATCCCAAAAAATATCCATT